CGTGCACTGTGACTTAAGTTTTTTGAGCAGTTGCGCTTCTTTTATTATTGATAAACCAATTCAACAAGCAGCCACAAAATCACTTCCATTTCTGGATAGTTAGCCCGGACATTTTCAATCGCGTAGTGTGACTTCGGAGCCGATGACTACATGTGAGCCTCCCTTCAAAACCGGAGCTATGCTGGCAAAATTAGGTAGGTTGGATGGCTCAATGAAGGTAAATTGACTTACCGCTGAGTTCCAAGCAATAGAGTGAAGAATGTGATGAGAGTGTTGAAAAAGAATGGTAATATCTCCATGCACACCTGGAATTGGTCAGGGATGACGTCATAGCCAACACAAACGTAAGTGGCCAGAAAATGTTTCAAATTCCACTGAAAATCACCTTCTGAAGATAGCAGAGAAATTCGGTTTGGTTCAGGTCTCGCATATGGCCGAGATTGTAGTAGTAGATGGTGAATGGTAGGGGTGATGCGGCCATCATCAACGCACTCACCGCCATCCAAAACAACGGCTCAACTGTGGCGCGTTTCTGAAAATGTCGTTTTTGAGTTCACGGCGAAAACTCCTTCGGATTTCAACATTGTAAGCAATTCTGATCCAAATACAAGTGCATGGCTCACTCCATTAGTGGATCCTCATAGAACAAAGGCCAGCCCTTGTTCCAACCTGGATCTAAGATTCAGGGCGCGCTGGTTCGTACGGAATTCGTAAAATGAAGTTTTTTTTTGAGAGTTCCGATTTCCGATGGCATAGTGAATCCCCGAAGATTATTTTTTGTTTCCTTTAATCCAATAACAAGGCAAAACCAAGATAAAGAATTCAACGTCATTAATAGGCTCAGAAATTGGAACGAAAACGAGAAAAATTCAAAACTGCCGTGCAAGGTGGAACCCAAAAATCGAAAAAAATAAACCCTGCAGGGTGCGGGAATCGAACAAAATTTCTTGCTCTTTGAAAAAGATCAGCCATAAAAGCTGAAAATTTGCTCTTGTGTTTTCTCAGTCCCGTATATCCTATAGAATAGTCGTTGGAAAAGGAAGGGTTTCCGATTCCCGAGTTCCCACTCTTTTCATGTTCGCATCCTGCAGTTAATATTGCCGCCGTTTTGATTGCTTTTCCCTC